CAAGGGACGGTGGGGGGGAATCACATCGGTAACGTAAACTAGATTAAAGAATCTTACACCCGTAGTCTTGGAACAAACAGAGGCATCTCTGGGGTGCGGCAAAACCCAACCATCATCGACAGAGCTCCAGTTTTGTGAGCTCCGCGAATCAGCCGCCAAAGTTGCCTCCCGTTCACTACGGTAGGAGGGGGGCGGGAAGCTGGGGTGTGGTTGGTGGTCGGAACCCAGGCAAGGCGGGACGCGGATACTCCCTGCTTGGTATCGTGCACTGCAGCAGTGGAGGTCCACAAACGGGTCCAACAGGTGCCAAGTCGAGCACTACGCTAGCACAAAGGGTCGTCTCGTCGCCGGCAGGACGGGCACAGCGCTTCTGAAGGCCATGACCCGGGGGGCTCAGTGAGGGGGATCCACGGGGGAGGGGGATTAGGCTACTTTTCGGAATTGAATACTGATGTGTACGTGTGTGCATGTTTGCAGTTCGTAAGCACGGCCGTTGTGTGCAAACATAAAAAAAAAGTAGACCTGGCCCAGAAGAGAGGGGGCGGCGGCGCGGTTAAAGTATTCATATTTCCTTTCTATCCTCACCGCTATCACTGGCTGGTTGCGAAGGCTGAGCTTGAGCATGCTACCCGTAACCTCCACCTTGACGTCCGATCGTGACACCTCTGCAACAGGCAGATCAGATCAAAGGATGTGTGTGTAGAGAGATGAGAGCGAGAGAGAAGAGAGAGCCAAAGAGAGAGAGGGGGGGGGGGGGGGTGTACGTGAGAGATGGGTCCATGGCTTGAGTGTAAACAGCGGGCTAATACTACGTGAGTCATGGCATCCAGGCAACATCATCCAAGAGAAGGTAAAGCGGAAACAAGGCTTGCGTGTGTGCATGCATCCGCGTGTACCCGCGGAACACGCAAGACATTTTAGTCGTCGCAACCTCCAACGGATGGTCACTGGCTGTTTCGGTTTGGCTGCGTGACGGGTGACCACTACCTGTAGCCTCCGGCAGAAATATCGCCCAAAGTAATACGCACTACAATGAGGTTGGTTTGACCAGCCAGCACGCCGTGCACTACACTGGGAACACCTGATGTCGACAACAAATGCACGAAACTACTGCAAAGCGAGGCTTCCACCACCATATGAATGAACAGCTTGCGTGACGATGAGATTGACAAAAGAGAATGTAAGTTTCAAGCCATAGCGAAAAGCAGCTATTTACAAATTAAGCATCACAACGTCCGGACGCCTGTGTGGCTCTTCCAAGGATCGGCAGCAGACTGGCCTGCACAAGAGCAACGTACGCGAAAGCAGAGTTTCTCCCAAAGATAGCAGTACCCCGCCATAGCAGTGGAACAGGTCTTCAGCACACGAGCGTGGGTTTAAAAGTCAAGCCACGCCAAGCTGGTTTATCCGTTGGGAAGGCCTCATCTCGGTTTTTCGAAAAAAAAAAAGTGTCAAAAAAGGTTGGCACTTGGTATGGACACATATTCGCCACAACTGGTAGATTAACGTCCGTCGCACAGCCTTGCTTTCTGTCGCACTTGTGTTTGTGTTTTCGACGCAGAACTTGTCCACGCGGTCTGCCTAGCTCTACTTTCAGATACCACCCCACTCTCCACTCACGTCCGGCTCGTTCTTAGAGTCGGCCTTCTTCTTAGCCCTTCGTTGGTTCCTCAACCGCAGCCGCTTCTCCTCCGGAGTTTCACCTCGGATAACCTAAAACATGCCCCCCCCCACCCCGACACACGCACGTGCACGGCACAAGCAACAAAAAAACAAGAGGCAAGTTAAAAATATGCTGTTGGATTGGGTAGACGGCATCAAACGCGAGCACCCACGCGCATGGGGCAGTCACACTCCAGCAGCCACGAGGAAAAAAAAGGATTCTGCCGGGTCGAGAGGATGATACACATAGACGGCAATAACACGGGCTGCTTGCCCGGGGTGATATCGGGGCTGCTGGGGTGGTAGGACACTTTGGCCGAGGGGACGGGGTGGGTGAGGCAGAGAGGGATGACAAACCGCCATGACGTCAAGGCCCATTACGGCTTGCACACGCAGAGTCATGGAACACGAGCACAAGATAGATAGCCCGTCACACGGGCCTCGGTAAGCGCAGCGTATACAGCGGCAATTTGTTAGCAGCGCATGGAAAAAGAAGGACCACAGCGAAGGCACAGGCGACGAGAGTATCGACGCCGACACAGCCAAAAAGTGAACAGCCGTCGCATACAAAGCGGGCAGCAACGGCGCCACACCTCGAGGACACCATAAGACTCGCCCCGCAACCCCAAACAATGTCACCCCGGAGGGAGGGGCACAAACATTAACCCTTCCCAAACACAAAGGCACGCCATGGGATGAATGCATGGCGCCAGGTGGCGCAGACCTCCTGACAGGTTACTCCCGGTAGGTGTCTCGTAAAGGGATAAAACGAACCACGACAGCGGGATCTGGAATGTGGGTGTATAGTTCATATACGGCAAGGTTAAGGTGTTCATAGTGATCGTCGCCATGTTGGGTCGTCGGTCCTGTTCTTTTCTTTTCGATCTTGGCGCGAATTCTATGGCATTACTACAGCAGTGTGGCCGATACCGCCGTCCAGGCCCATCGCCTCATTCGTATGGAAACCCAAACTCAGAGTTGTGGGGTGCACAGCCTCAGAAATCAAGTTGACCAATCACCGCAGGTGCCTTTGCCGCGTGTCGCGTCTAGTAAGTCCCACAGCATGGTTTTAGCCCAACACCACGACCGAGATGGCCTTGCCTATCCGAACAGTTGTTACATGGACCTCGTCAATGTACAGCATAGTTTGGATACATGGGAACCAACCCTGATGCGATCTTTCTGCAGCCTACATGAAAGGTTGGAACTACATGTACAGAGTAGTGGGCCAAACGTATCGCCCACACAGCAGGTTTATCCAAACATGTGCCCGCCAAGAAAGCGATAGTCCGTTCACACGTGCCCTACGAGCGGGCTGATATTGGTTTGTTGTGTGTGTATGCATAGCTGCCGGCACATGTGGTTGCTGATGGGAGAAGGGAGAGGGTGTATGTAGATTATGCATTCGGGAGACGAACATGCTCATGTTTTGGGGCGTTATTCACAACACTACATCCTAACACATAGTGCTCACAAACTCAAAACCTCACAGCAGCACCTGCTGTGGTGCAACTTGGACGCTGTAACGAGTGGTCCCGTGACCTGACCTTTTCCAAACGGCAAGCGTGTGTGTGCTGCTGTATGCATCCGCGAATGACCACGACGATGTGGAGGGATGTTGAACACTTCTGTAGGTTAGTCTCCAGATGTGGGTAAACGGGTCATGCCGCTAAATTGGTCGCCGCTTGGCTCTCCACACTCTTGGGGGAACAGCGCATCAGTCGTACACACAAAAAACCTTGAAACACTAAGGAACAACAAAACATCATGGTATCATGGTGTATGTGCCGTCCCTCTGCATATCGCGTTAAGGGCAGGAGCACCCGCAAAGACGGACGATCACACCACAGCCCACCATTTTTTTCATCGAAAGAGGCTACCCGTTTCTGCTTGTTTTTCCTTGAACAGCACGCGTGCCCAAATCATCGAGACGCGACTGCACGCCGAAAGCAGGGGGGATGAATCACACGCTCTCGCGCACACCCAGGCTCACCTTGTTTGCAATGAGGCACACGATGATCACCATGACGGCTACGGCGGCCTTCGTCAAGAAGCTCCACTGGTCTTGCTCACCGCTGAGCATCATCTCCTCCACGTCATCCTTCCCCGGCGACCCTTCGCCACCAGCGGCCGCTGCCGCCTCCGCCAGCTTTTCCGCGGCAGCAGCCGCAGCTTCCTGCACGTTTTCAGTTGCCATCCTTCCCGACCGTCCTCGCTCTCGCTCTCTCTCTCTCTGTCTGCCTACGGCCAGAAGCCAAACACCCCCCACACAACGCTGGTCCCCACACACCTCTCTTGGCGGATACCAGCCTTGCTTCACAAATTTACGTTCAAGGTGTGTAGGCTTGTCGTTGGTAGGCAGGATCTCGACCCTCGGCAGCCGGCCCTCTCGTGTGTGCTTTCGCGTGTACCCTCGGGAGGACCTGCTGCTGCGGCCGCGCTGACTTGCCAGTGCTAAATTGTGTCGTGAGGCAGGCTTGTTTGGTCAATTGCTCCGTCAGCGCAGGCCCCATAAATTTTAGACGGCCAACTGCGTGCCCCCCCCCAGCTCGTGTTTTTTTTTTTTGTGTTTTTCGTCTCTCTGTTTCTGGACATCGTCGTCGTGGACTCGTCGACTACACTTTGCTTCTCAGCTAACACTGAACAAATTGTAGTAGTTTTACGGTGGAGGGGATTGTGGAGGGAAAACTATACCAAACGCCCAGGAGAGGAAAAAATTGTTGTTTCGTTCAGAAAAAATAGACATGCATAGTTGTATGACAGGGCGGAAACACTTACTTTTATGACATTATGAGTGGCACCCCCTACATACCGCGCGCGTTATTTTAGAGGGAGACTACATTGCAAAGTGCTAATGCCTCCGACTTGTAGAGATAGACTTACGTTCCGGGTACCCATTCATATGCACAAAAGTGCCGGAAATCCCGCGCGGACATGAACAACATGTAGATTTGGCACAGGAGTTTTCTTTAGCCTCATGATCACACAGCGTTTCTTGAGCATATCGAAAGACAGAGAGGGATACATTATGTGCGCGTACCGTGCGTGGGGCAACGCACAGATGTTCGGGTGCTTTGAACAGGTTATGAATTAGCCTAGCGAGGCAGCACCCTTTGCCGCCGTCAGGAAACGATGACGTCTACGCAATCTAAGCCTATACCATGTACACTCTCTCCACAACAATCAATCCACTTCCAAGGTTTTTCCATAGCTATCTTACGCGGGAGCATGGGGGGACCCAGGTGGAGAGGTGATACAGTACTTCCACAACGTGAGCGACAAAAACATACAGCTACAGTAGGGAATATCACACACGACTTAAAAACAATTTCCGCATTCGCGAGCTAGATATTGAAAATAACCTACATGTAGAAACGCCTCACGATTCACTACCATTGCTCACGATGCACTACCATCGTGGATATCAATGTAGACCATTCTACATGTAGAGACTAATCACATGACGGCGCATACTTCACTAGACGTCTGGTTCGTCACGGCCGCCTCCTCGGCACCACCGTTCCCATGATGTCCGCCCTCTTGCTGATCGAACTGCATCACAAAACTAGCCAAAACTGGCCGATGATCGGAAGTCTTGAGCTCTCCGACGCTGCGGTAAGCTGTGAGCTGAATCCCGCCCATCGCGCCCACCCCTCCCACCCCATTTTCCTCTCCACTCTTCCCCTCGTTACACATCTCCCGCGGCTCGTTCTTCTTGACGGTAGTAGCGGCGGCATCGTCCGTAGGAGGAGCAGACACAACCCTGCCCGAATACAGGATTCGATCCGTCCACGCCGGCACGCGTTGCTTGGAGGACGTGTCGTACGTGTCGGTCCCGCTGTCGAACTTGTACGTCGGCCGGAAGTTGAGGGGTCCCTCCGAGTAGCCCGAGAACGGCGGCGCCTGCCGCCCCCCCTCGCCTCCGCCCTCGCCCCCTCGGTCTCGGCTCCTCTCGAGAGACAGCTGCTCGTTGTTGAGAAGGACCCCGTGCATGTCTTTCGACAGGAGCAAGTCGGCCACCGCGCGAGGGGCGTTGACTCGGTAGTTGAGATCCCCCGCCCAGAAAACGCGGTCGAACGCCTGCGGGAGCGTTGTACAACTACTCCTGGCGTCACTGCTGTGCTTGGGCACCATATCTCTTCCCCCTAGTCCCACACCTGGTTGCGCTTCTTCTTGTCCTCTCCATTGTCTTCCCCCGTGATTCCCACCGCTCTCATCCTGCTGACCGGTGCTTCGGCGAGAAGGGCGTGTATCGCTAGGGTCCGGCGTAAGGGGTGGGGTAGTACATTTGTCGACGGCGCCATCAACCTCCTCCACGACAGTCTTCGGCGCCGCCGCCGCCACCGCCGCTACATCCGTTTTCGTTTCCTTCGATCGGGTTCCCTCCTTCCCTGTCGGCGACAACGGCGATGCTGCCACCTTTGAACACTCTGCCGGCATTGCTGCACTATTTAGATTCGAGTGGTCTGGATCTCCATCTCCATCCAAACTCCTCGCGCCGACCATGGACGGCCGTGTCGTTGTGCTCTCCTCGCCGGGACCTTGCCCCCTTACCCCGGCGGTGGCGTCTGCTACAGAAACAGGGGGCGGCTGGCCTTCAGCATTGGCACCACCACCATCATCCCCGCCGTCGTCGTCGTCCCTTTTATTAGCACGCTCGTCCCAGCCTACTTCACCAGGCGGCGATTGTTCAGAGACAGACAGCGGGGCCGACGCAGCAGCTGGCGGCGGTTCCTCTTCGCATTTCGGATCCCGGCCGTCGTGGGCCGCGCCGGCGTTGACGCCGCTTGGTCCGGGGGGCCCGAGGTCTCGCACGAGGCCGTTGGAGATCTGGAAGAAGTGGTCGTTTCTCTCTCGCACGTTGTTCTGGTGGGCCGCCAGGTGCGAGTTGACGAACACGCAGGAGGTGGCCCCGACGCTGAACGATATCCCGACGCCGCCCTTGTTCCCCAGAGTCGTGCTCGGGGCGCCGAGACTGAGGCCCGTCGCGACGGCGGAGGAGCGCACGTTGCGCAGGAGGGGGATTATCCCCCGGTGCGCGAAGACGGCGTTGTGGGTGGCCTGTGGTCAACACAGCGCGGGGCGGGTGTTCACGAAGAGAGAGAGCAAGGGACGTGTACTAGTGGGTCGAACGGACGGATAGTACGTTGTGTCTGGTTTTCGACGGTGTGGTGTCGTCGCTGACAGCACCGAGCACATGCCCGGGAGATGACGGAACAGGCATCGGGGAATGGCCCAAAACCAGAGTTACCGGCAAGGGGTGTAACGGATCGACGCACCCGCTCCATCCACCTATGTCGTCAGCTACCGACGCGCAGAAAACAGACGCAATACGGCAATTGTTGACAGCCGTGGCCTAGTCCCAACGTCTCGCAAACACTTTGTATCGGAGTCAAAAACTTGGGGGAAAACCAGCACGCTGCGCCCACCTGAAGCCCGTGAGCACAAAGCATTTCGTACGAATACCCCAGAGTTTCCTTCAACAAGCTCTCCCATTCCTTCTTGGAATGCACTATCACAGACTTGGCAATGCTGTGGAGGCATTCTTCCGTCCCGATAGCGTAGATGTGGAACTGCCGACGGAGAAGCGCAGAGAAAAGTGAGGGCCTACGAAGCTCCATATGACATGTCGACACGTCACAGCAATACAAGGCGTGCTTCTCAGTGTAAATCGGAGTCAAGAACCTGGCCGGGCGCGTGTTGATCACGTGTAAAGAGAACGTGCGCGGCAGGCAGGGAAGCAATTGAACCCTCGAGAACTATGTATGACTGACATCCCAATGTCATACCATGGGCGCGTCCTCATGCACGGAGGTCGTGTCAACTTAATAACGACAACCGGTGGCTGGCTTCATCATGTTGCGGATCGGTGTCATGCAAGAACAAACCTATGTTGCTCTCAATGTGTTGTTGTCTACCCCAACCGCACGACTCAGAGTAGGGCACAAACGTCAGCTCATGGCGCGCAAACGAAGTGCTGGAGGTGGTGTTTCGTGAGCGCGTCCCGTGTTCCACCAAAAGGCCTTGACGAGGTCGAAAAAACTCACTCACCTTGCCAGGAGGCAAAATAGTTTCCCGTAGCTTGTCCGCCGCCGGGGTCGGCTTGGCGTGCAGGTTCCAAGTCACCACTCTCACGAGAACGCTGCCCATGCTTTTGGCGGCCGCCAGGACGTCGTCTTCGCCTTTGTCGAGCGCCCAGAGCTCCGGATCTGGCTCGCTGTCCAGCAACTCGGGCCACTCGTCACGAGAGGTCAGCGTGTTGTCCCTAGCCAGTACCCTGCGGGCATGTTTCGCTGCTTCCGGTGGTCCCGCTGCTGCCGTTGCTGGCGGTTGTCGGGCCCCGGTTTCTAACCATTTGGAGGACACGGCAGTATCCTCTTGGTGTAGATCGCCGGTCACCTTCTCCTCTGTCGTCAAGCCTTGTTCACCCTTGCGATCGCCGCCAGCACCGTCGTGACGACTCTCGTCTGGTTCTGGATCCGGTCCCTGCATGTTTCGTCCACCGCTTGCCACGCCTCCGTCGGCAAGTGTTGTCGCCTCCGTGCATCCGGTGTGTATATCTTTGCTTTTCGTTTCGTCATCCATGGCGGGGCCGTCGACACAAGCGTTAGGCAGGTCGTCGCTTGGGATAGGTCTTTTGTTGTCGTTATGGTTGAGGTTTTCTTCCTTGTTGCAGCCGTCGCTGTCACCGAGGTCGCCACCCGGGGTGTCGCCGAAAAAGGCCGCCGGCGCGACCTTTCCGGGCGAGTCTTGTTTGTTACGCCCAGGTTTCAGACGGCTCCAAGAGAGGGGTGAAAGGCGCTTGGCCCCAGCTTGCTTCAGTCGATCGGGTGACCTCTTCCAGCCCATTGAAACTCGTTGTGGGGAAGCTGACGCCGGCGAGACTTGGGCTTCCGACCCAAAAGCCAACACGTTGCGGAGTCCAAGGCCAACTCTTGCCCTTATAGCTGCAACAGGAGAAACCGGATCTCGACCGCGCCCCGTCCGCCCACGGCTGGGCGTCCCTGCTCTTTCGCCGAATTCTGGATCTACAACGCTACCCCCAGTTGCTTCAACCACTACGATATCACCAGGTGTATCGCCGGCCTTGGAGTCGTCTTGTTCCTCGGTCTCTGTCTCGACGACGGGATCTGAGTTTTTCGCATCGGCCGCGAAACTTTTTCTGTGCTCAGCATCTCCTAGACACTGGTCGTCGTCAGACCGTGGACAGCATTCCGATTCTCTATCGTCCTTGGCAGTGGTGGTGCTATTGTCTCCTGCAGCATTGGTAGGGTCGTCGCCACGTCCAATGTTCGTCGGCGTTGTCGTCGTTGTCGCATGAGAGCTAGTACTATTGCGCCCGGCAGCGGTGTCACCATTCGCCCCCAACAACAATGTACCTTCTCCCTCTTTGCCTCCGCAGGTACGGCCCTGAGATGTCACTGGGCTTGCACTACCGTGCCTCTTCGCCTGCTTGGTGCGGTTGTGTTGTTGGCCGTGCCGGTCGTCCTCGCTTCCGAGTATCGCCGACGACGATAAGCGGCCGTGGTCCCCGAGCGGAGGCAAGATGACCGCATTCCTGCCTACTTCCGGCAGTTTTGCACCGCTGTACGTACAGTCGTCCCCTTCTGGTGCTTGGAAGCTCTTGCGCTGATGGTGACACGGCGATGCAGACATCCAAGATCGCGAACATGTCGATATCGGACTGCTGTAGATGTATCATGTTCATGTGTCGCGCCACCAGATTTAAGAGAGGCACCGCAGGAGAGAAGATTTGAGGGGTACCCCGCATCCCCCCCCCCTGATCGTCCATCGCCACCACACCAGACACAGGCTTCGTACAACAGCAGCAGCAGGGCCTTGGTGCCCGCACACGGTGGCCAAGATCATGCAGCACCCACCGCATCTCATGCCGCCGTCTCCTCCGCAAGTGCTGTTCTTTGGCGAGTTCAGGCCAAAAGAAACCGGAGAACTAGACGAGGTGGGATGCCGACAAGTGTAGCGTAAGATCGCACGGTCCGACGGAGCGAGAGAGCACCAGAGAGACGGACGCAATGATGCTCGTAGGTACATCCCTGGCGGTCTTCTTCCGTAGACACGCTGAATGTTACCCTAGCATGTGTTGACGATGACGGTTACATTGCTTCACCCCCCAGCATGCCCCAAGAGTTGTTGGTGTGCAGTTTGCGACGGGCGCTGCCTATGGGGAGGGAAAGCACACACACAAACAGCGCGTGAGCGAGAGGGTATACCGCTGTGCAGCTGCAGCGCAAAACAGAGTGCAGCATATTGTACATGGACTAGTTTGTAGAAGCAGGTTGGCATTTGTGGCGCATAAGGTGGGTCTGCATATCTGCATCCTCACCAGCGTCGTTGCCCCTCGTTGGCCTGTGCTTCGCATCGCAAGCCGGACCTCTAACATCATCAGTGCGTGATATGCTATGTGAGATTCACGACAGGCCGGTCAATATTTTGAAGCAAACATGTAGCCGTAGAGACTGCCGAGCGTTTTCGAGGCCAAGAGAGACAGCTAGAAGAGAGAGAGACAATGCATTTCGGAAGATACCACACCCTCACAGGTTACCCCGCACATCATCACCGGACCACCCTCTGTGATTACGTCCTATACCCACGACTTTCACGACCACGAGTCGTGAGGAAACAGACAGCAACAGTAGTAGTACATGGAGGAGGCCAAAACTAAATGTCCTTTCTGCAAGCACCTCTACGCCGCAGACGAAGCCAGCTTGTTTTCCTCTCCACGATCCTCCGTAGCTGCTTGGACAACGACCGAAGGAGGCTCTCTGTACTGTCTCCGGGACGCGTTGTTCCCGCCAACTTGTTCCACGAGGAAACCTGCCAGCTGCCTTTTGCTACAGATACTTTCAGATACAGCTCAAGTTTTTTTTTATATCACACTTCGGATTTTACGCTTTGCCGCACACCCCCAGTCACATCTCCTTTCTAGCATACTCATTTGTCTTCACTGTGACACCCTACCGCGCTCCAGTCGCACGAGATACCGCACGCCCCACAGCATGCCAACGCGGGGTGTAGCACACTCAAAGCAACCAGCTGCTGCTATGACACTGTTTCCTCTCGCAATGATGTTTGCGGGAAACCGAACGCGCCGCTACCGCCTCTACTGCTGTGGCACCATTCCTCGAACATTTCGTGCAGCACTGCTGCTTCGATCGCGGCAGGTATATAGATGCCGTCGGTTGCATCTCTCGTTGATATTGTTTTCACGCACGTTGCTGATGCTGGATAGAGCAGAGTGCGACACCACAACCGTGCTGACGACGGGCACGCTTACGGTGGTCTGCCTGTCTTCCGTTTGGACCTTCCCCGCCCTTAATAACCAAAACCTTGTTGTCCCTCGCGGTCTTTTCCTGCCGCCGCCGCCTAATTTTTATACCATCACCTAACCCGCCCCGCCACCCACGCTCTGTCGACCCAGGTGAAGTTCCGAGAAGCCGTGGTAGCGAGGATCATTCACGTCGTGCCGGCGGGAGAGCAGCCCACCCAGGTTGCCCTCCCCCCGACGTTTCGAGGGATCACGCAGGTCGAGCCCTTCCAACTCGAGGTGTGTATGCATGCGCAGAACAAGGGGCCGGCGGCATGTGGCGGAACGGGTCTTCTTTTTTCAGGCTATCTTCGGCTTACATGACGGCATAAAGGAGGAGCTTGGGCTTTCACTCGTGTTGGTAATACCTAAGGAGAGAGCCATGTACTGTAGCTTCCGAGAGCGCTTCAGCGGTTTCGGCGTGCTCGACATTTGCCTTGACAACGTGTGTATGTAGTTGTGCGACTACTGACGTTTTTTTTTTGTTTTTTTGCTCTGTGTGCGCGCAGGTGTTCTGCAAGAACCTCAACAACCTGCACTCGAAATATTTCGACCGCCTCATGCCCACGGCAACGGTGCCGGGAGGCGCGGTGTACACCATGCCGCAGGACATCGTCACCAACCACCTCGTCATTAGAGGTTCCTTTCAGGTATGTGATGCACGTTCTCCTCGCCTTTGGTTGTTGTCGTACCTCCGGGTAGGGAGCGATGCCGCGACTTGATTGGCCAGTTGCTCGATTGCCAGTCGCGGTGGAGCTGTCGTTGTCTTCCCTCTCTACAAGTTTCTGCATTAGCACAGACACGTGTATGGCATGCAGCATTAGTCAGCAGTCCAGTGTTGTCCTGTAAGGTGTCAGCGCCCTAGTGGGTACATGTTACAAATGCTGGCAGCAAGTGTCTAAGGTTACGCTGAACGGTTAGACGGCAGGGTTGGAACGTCAAACAACATAGCCAGATTCTCGCTGTACACCTTGGCACATTCCAAGAACAACCTTCGTACACGGACCCGGACAACTTCGCCCGAGCTCACGTCATTTATCACCGCTCTTTTGTTGTGTGTTTTGCGTGCGCTTTTCCCTTTCCAACGGCGCTTTTCCTATCATCCAAACCTCTTTTTGCCAGGCGATGTCGGTCGTCATTTGCGGCACTGTTGTTCCGCGGACGGCGCTGTCGCCGGACGCTATCCAGGCGCTGACGGTGTCGGACAAGCCGCCCCTGGGCGGCCCTTCCCCGCCGCCGTCGGCGTTAGTGCCGCCCCCTCCCCCACGACCATCACCGCCGCCAAACAGCCACCAACAACAAATGCAACAGCCGCAAGCCATGGCTGTGGACGGCCCGCCGCCGCCCCCGCCGCCAGCACGACCTGCGACCCAGGCACCACCGGCAGCATCGGCGGCGGTTGTGGGCGGGACCGCTGCCCCGGCGGCGGCGGCGGCGGCGGCACCCAGGAAGAGGACGGTTCCCAAGGCTGCCTCCTCCTCCTCCTCCTCCGACAAGCCGTCCTCGCCGCCACCTCCCGCGGCGTCGCCGTCGGGCCCCGGCCCTTCAAAGGACTCTTCTTCGCTGCCGAAGGCTTGGGCGCCGTTGGCACTGCCAGCTGCCGCCGCGACGGCGGCGGCGGTGGGGCAGGGGGGTACCACCGGCGACGGTGTGTCCCCGGCGGACCTGGCGCCGTACGGAGAGGCGGAGCTGTCGACGGCGCTGACGGTGCCGCCGGAGAGGCTGCAGCGCTCCGCGGCGGAGGCGAACCCTTTCGACGACCGCTTCTTGGTGCCGGCGGACGCCGCCCGGGGGGTAAAGGAGGCCGTGGCGCGGCTCGTTAGCCTTGCTGATGAGAGCGGCCCGGCGGGCAGGAATCTCGAGGTATGGTAAGGGGTGCTACGTGCCGCCAGGGCGTGTTCCGATACGTAGTGAATGTAGCCTTGGTCTGCACCGTGTAGCGTACATACACTCTTCGCGTGGACGAAAGGTTGTCCCCGTGTGGTTGATCGGCCCCGCTCTTGTACGTGCCCAGGACCACATGTGTTAGTTTGGAAAGAGTCAAATAGCTGGTTTCGCGGAGGTGGGCTCCTTGACCGCGCGTGTAGCAGCAGACCTTGTGACCGGAATTGTAAAGGGCCTGGTCAGCCCCTTCTCGGTAACCGAAAAAACTGGGCTCACCACGTCGTTTGTGTCGGAAGACCGCTACATACATCATGATGCAGCTCACGTTTGTAACGAAATTGAACCGCTCTACGAATCGATTTTCCACAGTGCGAGGCGCTCGATGCTGCCGCCGACTGCGTGGAGGCGTGCTTCCGCCGGCAGACGCCGGCGAAGAAAGGAGAAGAGGGAGGACAACAAGGCGGCCTCGTCCCGTCTCCGGTGGCGGTGGAGCAAGGCTCGACCGTTGCCACTACCGGCACAACGGCGACCGTCGTGCCGAGCAGCGAGGCGTTCAACGACGACGTTTCGGGACCGCTCGCGACGGCGGTCATCCGCTCCCTCCGCTTCTTCCGCGCCGCGGCGGCGGGGACGGAGGCGGGGTCTATCCCCGCCGGTGAGGGGGAGGAGGAGCGCGGTGGGGGCCGGCACACGCCGGCGGTGGCCGTCCTGGCCGACGGCTCGGTCACCGTCGACGACGGACACCGGCGGGTGGCCCTGGCGGGGCTAAGGCTGGCGGGGGCGGTGGCGACGGCGCCCAGCCCGGCGGGCGCGCTCCTCGCCGCGGGGGGTTTCCACGTGCTGTGGCGGTTGCCGCTCGACCCGGCGGCGACGCCCATGGGGGTGGCGCTTGCCCTCGGCGCGCTCTGCCAGGGGATACGGCACGCCGACGTGCTGCGCGTGTTTTTGACGAGGTGGGAGGAAGGTGTGGATGATGGCGCGGGAGGGGCCGAGGCGGAAGGGCTGTCGAGGCTGGGCGGGTACGAGGCTTGTGCGTCGGTGCTTTCCCGTCAGGTGAGACGATGAGGGGTAGGGGAAGGAGGAGGAGGAGATGTCAGGAGAGAACCGAAATCGGAAACATCCATCGAGGTGCACTCGTACGGCATTCGAGTTTGCGTTTCTTCGGGTTGTCGGGGTCGCTCGAAAAGTCGTTTTCGCCGCTGTCGAGCCAGGTCCGCTTCGCACGCAACCATGAGAGCAAAACCCGCGCGTTTGGCCTATTTTACGGTGGTGGTGTAGCCGCTGTCTAGCGCACTCTGCGCTTGCGCACCTGTTCTCTAATGGACGACGTGCCTGTTGTCGGGTTGTTGTCGTATTGCTTGTTCCTGCGGTGTTGCTTTTCGGTCCCGTTCGACGTTGCGGTCGTGTCCCAGGTAGCACACCCGGCGGCCCTTTCTCGAGGGCGGTCGATCATGCAGTACGTCGCCCTCGTCGAGTGCCTCCAGCTCGTCCGCAAGCTGGCCACGAAAGCGGGCACGACGGTAGCCGCGGCGAAGGCGGCGGAGGCGACGGGCAAGGACGGGAGTGCCGGTGGGGGCGGGGGGGCTGCCGCCGCGGTGGCGGCGGCGGCCGGCCCTGCGGCGGTGAAAGGCATGGAGGATCTCGCGCACGCGCTAGGCGCTCTGGAGGCCCTGATGTCGGAAGGGGCCGGGGAGACCTCAGCCTCCGGTGAGAAAAGGGGAATCGATTCTTTTTGTCTGTGTGGCGAAGGAATGTGCAAGCTTAAGCTTCAAAACTAGGACAATACGTTTACTCGCACACCCTACATTCATACCAACGTCCTATTATAGCGGCAGACAGCGTGGATTGATGCATGAGTTTGATTTTGTAAAAAAAAAATCCGGGTGATTCGTTCGCTGTTTCGAGCTCCGTGTCGACCTTGTCACAGCAGTTGCACATCGCGAAACGTTGCGAGCTAGACCCAGCAACTAACGTGCTTGCTCTCCAGGCTTTGTAGTACATTTTTATTCCGGTTGCTCACTCTATGGAAACTTTTCCGTGCGCGGTGCGCGCAAAAAAAAAAAAACGCGAGGCAGGTATTCAACCGGGCATCCGGAAAGGAGACCGAAAGAGGCGCTTGCAAGGCTTCGAGGTTCTTCTGGCCAAGGCCGACGCAAAGACGGGCGACTCGTCGGGCACCACTGCTCCCGACAACAACAACAACAACAACAACAACAACAACAACAGCAACAACAACAACAAGAGCGATGATCCAAACGTCGCCGCGGCGATCTCCGCCCACCTCGGTCGCGAGGCGGCGCGCGACAAGCGCCCCCGGGGGGGGCTGGCGCCGTCGCTGGTGGCATTGCTGTGGGAGCACCAGCTGCCGGCCGCCCTCGCCGCCGGTGTGGCGGCGGCCGCGCTGGCTTCCGAGAAGGAGGCCGCCTCGTCGTCGGCGGCGATGATGTCGAGGGTTAAGGAAGGCGCGGCGGCGGGCGGGGGCGGCGGGGAGAGAGGGGGCGGGGAGGAAGGGCCTGCTTCCGCGGCCGCCGCGCTCGTCTTCGCCGGCGTCCGCCAAGTTGCTCTCCGGCTGCTGCGCGGCGCCGGCGACCCGCTGTCGGGCGCGCTGGTGTTCGCCGGGCAGCCCAGGTCGACGGCCGCGCTAGCGTACGGCCTGGACCCCTCCGCGCTCGCCACTCCCGTTGGCCCCGAGAGTTCGCCGACCATCGAAGCTCTGGCGGACGGGCTTGACCAGGTATGGTGTTGGGGGAGAGATGGGGTGCGCGCGAGGGTGCGAGCTGAGCAGGCAAGGCAGCCCTTAACCCCGCTTGCCTGTTGCACACACGAACAAGGGAGTAGTTTTTTTTACGTTGTAGGGGTGTCGTAGACCAGGTGTCGGACACCGTCGCCAATTGTTCCACTATTGACTATGTAGTGCGCATGTTTCAACCCAGCCCGAGCCAAGGCAACAAGGCGATGTGCACCTTGAGCGGTTGGGCAAGGGGGCCGGCCTCCATGATGAGCTTTGAGTTACGATCTCGCAACCCTTGACGCTGCCCATACCCCCCCCCCCCCCCCCACCCCTCCCTTTGCTCCCCTCGAAAACTCGCGTGTGACAAGACTCTTGTCACGCCGGGGGGACTTGCCCGCTTGCTAGTCCGCAGCTGCCAGGCGTTGTCAGCGGCGGACCTCGCTCTCAGCACCGCCGACAAGTCGCCCCAGGCGGGGCGGGGAGGTATGGTCATCGACGGCGGAGGCGGGACTGCTGCTGGTGGAGGGGGGAAGACCGGTGCTGCGAGTAGCGCTGGTGGTGGTGGTGTTGCGGGGGCTACTACCGGCATCCTTTCCGGGGGTGCGGAGGCAGACATGACCGCCGCGCTGCGCAAGCTCCACGAGCTGGGGCCTTCCCTCGCCGGCAGGTGCGACGTTGTAGTAGGGAGACATGCATAATATGCGTTTTTGAAGGGGGGTCTACGAGGGACGATGCCACGGTGCTGTGTGCCGTCCGTTTTTCGCAGATCCGAGGTTTAAGTTCCACTTAAGTGTTCCGTTTGGAGTGTAGGGATGGACAGCAAGTGCGGTGGAAGAAGCACGTGATAGATGTCCGATTTGTGAGGGCAGCAGGAGTAGAGATGGTTTTGTGTTTGTTGTTGTAAGGAAGCGTTGTTTTTACGGGGCCGTGTGGTGTGTCCTGTGCTGTCGTTTTATCTGCTTGTGTGTTGTTGCTCTTGTTTTTGCCCTTGCGGTTTCTTCTGAGGGCAGTCGTGGTACACCATGAGTAAAACGTAGGTTAATCTGCAACGGATCCGTGTTTCTTTCCGGACGTGTTTCCGTCGGTGGTCAAAACTCACCGCCTCCCCCCCCCCTGAAACCTACCCCATTTCTACGCATCCCCCTCTTTGCCCCTGTCACGGTTTTCGACAAACGACCGACCGGACCAGGTCCTCGGTGTGCGAGGTCGCTTGCAGATTCGCGCTGCCGGCGGTGCTGAACCCCCCCCCGGGGGGCGGCCGGGCTTCCGTGACGGTGACCACCTCGCTCCTGCTCTGGCTCCTCGAGGGGGACCAAGAGTCCTGCTCCGACGTGCTCGCAGAGCGCTGGGGTTCGTTAAGGTCTAGAGTGGACGCCCTTGCCGACGAGGTCGGGTGGTCCGACAGCCTCTCCCACCGTCTTTACCTGTTCCACACGGCCATGGGTATGGTTGCCATGGACGCCAAGAAGCCGGCTGCTGCGGCGGGGGGGAGCAGGAGGAGTAAGGGTGGAGGAAGCGGCGACCTTCCGCGGGCGGGAGAGATGATGGCGGGTCTGGCGAGGCAGTCCCACACGCTGGCCGTGTACTTGGGCCTGGAAGATGTCCCGGACGCCTCAGGTGAGGAGGAGGCCGCGTACTGTTGCAGCGATGGTTGGAGGAGACGGAGATAGGTGGCCGCCGCCAACCTGTCCCGTGTGTCCTGGTGTGCTCGGAGGGGCGGTAGCATAGCGCCCCCGAAGGCGAAAGTCCGAGCATACGTTCGTCGTCGCTTCATATCTTGCGCTGTCGATCGATTCGCCGCCATGCTGCCATTACAGGAAAAACTAAGCACTCGCCCTGTGTGGTCATTGCCCCCGTCCGTGTGGGACAAGGGAAGCGGCTTGTTTAATTAACTAGACGTTCCCTGGTGTAAGCGGCTTGTTCATCTAGACTTCCTTCCTCTCGCTACAGCGGTAGTCGCTGTTGTGTGTTTCGTGACTTTGCTCGTCCCTTCATCGCGAGAGGCTCGCTTTTGACACCACGTTGCCCCCGGTATCATCGTCGAGGAAAAGTGCATCACACACACACTCCCTTCTCCTCTCTAACGTTCTCCGTTACTATCCGGCGTGGCGGCGGGCACGAACAACCGTTTCCGTTGAACACGAACACCACACCAGCCGCATCTGCGAGCGACACGGACGCGGGCGCCGGCGGCACCGCTGCCGACGGGGACGCCGCTTCCAGCAGCAGCAGGAAGCCGCCGCCCGCCCTTCAACCCCGCACGGAGGAAGAGCGCCGCCGCGCCGCGGCTCCGGTGATTGTCGCCCTGACCCTTCGCCTGAAGGTGCTAGCCCTCGCGGCCTCCAGGGGCCTCGGCGCCAGCTACCCGGCCTTCGCCGGGGGAGCGGCGGTGCCTGCGCTGGCGGGGCTGGTGGAGATCCTCGCGTTCGGGCTCGCCAAGGCCGGGGCCAACCGGGCGCTGGCGCACCGGGTGCGGCTGGCGCGGGCGGGGCGCGCCGGAACGTCCAAGTTCTGGATGTTGTACCCCGAGAGGATGTCCGGGTCAGCCACCTTCACA